TTGAAGAAAAAAACAGTTTCTTCATAAATAAACGATTATATTTTGTGAGTTACCGAGGTAGAATGAAGATTTCGGTGGGACTGTTCATCCAACTTCCGCCCGGGAACTGTGTGCCTTGAACCATTGTTCGGATTACATATATATATTTATATATTTACCACCAGCTTGTAGATAACCATGTTTCCAACGCAACATCCTGGGGACGCGCTCGGTAGCATACAGCTCTGCTCTCCCGAGTTGTTCGGATTAAGTAATGCATCTGAGAGGTGGGAAGTTAGAACACAACATCTCCAAAGCCCGTAACCAGTAGTAAATCTTGCAGATGCATGATTGTAACAGACACTGACTTTGCATTGTGATTTGGTTAGCAACTCAAAGCTCCCGCTTTTTTATAGTTTCATTGTCCGGCAAGTATTTACAACTTTTTTGATTTCATACACTATTTCAGATACCAGCAGCCTCGGTTGGATTTGGACCCACGCACAGGTGTAGGTGGCGTCTATAGGCGTGTGTTCGAAATCAAGCTGATGTTGCTGTTCATATCCCAATCGGAAAGAATGAAAATCGTATCAAACCTGCTAAACACTGAACCTACACTACCCACAGTTTTTTCCATGATGTGATACCATTATACAAATAGGTCAACTGTAAACAACCCTTCTTTACGTGAGACAGCGCCTTAAATGAGGTTCTACGTCAAGTTCAAGGATTTAAAATTGGTGTTGGACCGGTTTTTTGTATGCCTCTTGACGTTGTCTAACAATGGCTAACATCTCCAAGGTATCCAATCTGGTGCACTTACGCAATCCATAACTGCTGCTTTCCGCTCATTTCGTCGCCACAAAAGTTGTGACGGTCTTTGAAAAGATGCAGCAGAACCCGTCCGATGCAGTGCACCTGATTACTGCACTGCATTTTCCTGTATGATTGATCTGACTGCCATTCACCCCTCTTTTGTTGATTTTTGTGTTAAAAAACCAACTGTCTTTTCGTATGTGAGTTTAAGAATCAACCGTAAAGGCGAAAACAGATACCGCTCGGATGCACTATTTTTTATCAGAAACAAGAGTCATACTGATTGAGATTCCATGTCCGTTCAGTTCTCGGACAGCATCAATGTTCTAAACGCCTAATCCTTCTTAGCCGAATCACACTAGAAAGTAGTGTCTGGTGGGAGGCACTGATTCCATATATGGGTTATAGGTGGCCTTCGAAATTCTTCATTGGAAACTAATTTCTGCTATCCTCAGGAAGGATTGCAGTTCCCATTGGTCAAAATCTCCCCCACGTTCGTCTTATCACATGCACATACTGACTGGGTTTCATAACCAGGTTTATTAACAGGACGGACGACGTATCGAAAAACTCTTCTTTTGTGCGCACTTCAGTCTGATGACGCGCGAAAGTGCCCCTTGTATAAAGACTGTTCTTTTGTGTTCTGGTTGGGTTGAATCCCAGGATCAACGGGGTCAATTCACCGACCCCTTCTATACCACACCT